CCTGTCCCCCCCCCCCAGATTAAGGTGGTTTTAACAGACGGGGGGTGATCGAGGAGGGGCCGGGGGGATTCGTGGGGGGGGCCCGGACGCCGCTTCCTTCGGTGGGGGGCGGGGGGGGCCGGACGCCGGGTCCTGCAGCTGGAGAAGGGAAGTTGGGGGGGGCCGGACGCCCGAGTTCACGCCGGGGGCAAGGTCAGGAGCGGGGGCTCGGCGTGCCGGGGGGGGGCTGGGGGGGGGGGGCTGCAGACGAGGGGGACCCCCGGGTGCTGGGGGTGAGCGCGGGGGGGTGGGGGGAGCTGTTGGGGGGCAGCATTTTGGGGGCCGTCGGCCGCCGACACTTCCTGGATGGCAGGAAACCGCTGGCGGCGGCACGTCCGGGCCCCCCCCCAAACATCCCCCGGTGCCACAACTTCCCCCAGACCCCCCCCAAACCCTCCCAGACCCCCCCCTGAACCCCCCGGAGTCGAGGGGCGGCTGGGGGCACAGCCAGGAGCCAGGCCAGGGAATGACCCCGCTGTCCAGGGGGGGATCCCAGGTGCCTCCTCCCCACCCCCCCAGCACCGTTTTGGGGTCCCTGCAGCGGGGGAAGGGGGGCGGTAAAGGGGGTCTGGGGGTGTCTGGGGCTGGAGGGACAGACACGGAGCGACAGAGGGACACGGAGGTGGGGGGAGGGATGAGGAGCCCCCCCCGCTGACCCCCGTGTCCCTCCCCAGGTGTCACCGTCGCCCCCCGCCCCAGCGATCGCCGCGGCCGGAGCCCCCTCCCCAAACCGGGTCCGACCCCCATTGATCCGACCCGGAGAGGGGCGCGTGGGAAAAGGGGCGGGGCCTCCCGCAGGCGGGAATCCGAGGGCAGCCAATCGGGGCGCGGGGCTCGTTCCCACGTTCCCATTGACAAGTCGCTGGGTGCGGGATCCCCGCTACAACCGGGGGGGTTCCGGGGGGGCGGGGAGGTCCAGGAGACCCCCGGGAGACCCGAAGGAGTCCCTGAGGGTCTCTTGGGGTTCCCTGAGGATCCCGGAGGTCTAGGGGGGGGTCCTGGGGAGTCCCTGAGGGTCCCGAAGTGTCTCGGAGGGGTCCTGGGGAGTCCCTGGGGGTGCCGGGGGGGGTGATTGAGGGGTCCTAGTGATTTTCGGGGGAGGTCTCGGGGGTGCCATGCAGTCCGACGACCTCTTCCTCCGCAAAATGCGGGGCCCCTTGGCCCGGCCGCCCCCGTCCCCCGCCCTCCCCGTGGCGGCTGGGGGGGTCCCCTCTCCGCCCCCCTCCCCGGGGGGAGCAGCCCCCCGGCAGCGCAGCAGCAGCGAGGCGGCCCTGGGGAGGTCCCCGGAGGACGGGGGGTCCCCGGCTGGGGTCTCCCCCCGCAGCCGCACCCAAAGCCACGAAGAGGCTGCGGGGGGGTCCAGCCCCACGTCCCCCCGCTTCCGCGACCCTCTGCTGCTGCTGGGGCTGGCGGCGGGCGGGGGGGACCCCGATTTCTTCCCCCGCCCACCCTGGAGCCCCCTCCTCGCCCATTACGATGTTCAGAGCATCCTCTTCGATCCCACCGAGCCCCCCCCGGGCCCTCCCGGCCTCATCTCGGGGGCTTCTGCCGCTCACCTGGAGCCCGAGGAGCCCCCCGGGGCCCCCCGCGCCGCCCCCGGCCCCGAGGCGCTGGTGCTGAGCTGCCCCCGCTTCTGCTGCGAGACCGGGGGAGAGCAGGAGCCGGGGCTGGGGTCCCGCCGGGGCCCCCCCGGGCCCGGGCAGCTCCCGAATGCGGCGGTGGCGGTGCTGGAGGAGCCCCCGGCGGGGGCGCGACCCCCGCACCCCATCGAGCACAGCGATGAGGGCGCGGAGTATTACCGCAAATATTTCTATGGGAAAGGTGAGTCTGGGGGCGAGGGGGGGGGAGAAATGGGGGTCGGGGGGGCGCGGGAGGGGGGGATACAACTGGTACAGCGAGGGACAGGTGGGGAGGGGGCGGGGGAGTGGTGTTTGGGGGGCTGTGAGGGTCCTGTCCCCACCTGACCCCTCCCAGAGCGGCAGAACCTGCCGGGTGAGAGCCCCCAGACCCCCGGGGGGAGCTGGGGGGGGGGCTGGGGATTTCTGGGGATCCCGACCCCCTCCGACCCTCTCCCCCAGAGCACCACAACCTGCTGGGTGAGGACCCCCGGCTGGGGCCCGTGGCCGTGTCCCTGCGGCGGGAGGAGAAGGAGGGAGCCCGGCCCCAGGTGCTGCACAGAATCATCCTACGCACCTGCCAGGTGAGGCGGGGGGCTCAGGGGGAACCCGGGGGGGGGGAATCATGGGTTTGGGGGTCCCAGAGGGGCCGGCCGGAGGCTCAGGGGTCGCTGGGGGTTAAGGATGGGCGAAATCAATGGGGTGGGGGCGCCTGAGGGTCCCCAAAAGCTCTACAGGGAAGCCCCCCCAGCAGGGGGGGGGGGATTCTGGGGGTGTTTCCCCTCCCCCCCCAAAGTGACCACCTCCCCCTGTGCCCCCCTCCCCAGCTGCGGACGTTGCGGGGGTCGGTGCTGGAGGAGGCGCTGCCCCCCGGCTGCCGCCCCCCCGGGGCACGGGGGGTCCCCCCGCGGAAGCTTCTGGAGCTGCTGCTGCCGGGGCTGGCGGTGGGGGGGCTGCGCCTCGCCCCCTCCCCCGCCGTGCAGGAGACCCTCCTCAAGCTGGACGAGCAGGGGGTGAGGCGGGCGTGGGGAGGGGTCTCGCACCAAGCCGGGGTGGGGGGCTCGGGGGTCTCTGCGTGTCACCTCCCATGGGACGGGGGGGTGGGAGGAGGATGGGATGGGAAACACCCCCAGGGGATAGGGACACCCCCAGGGGTCGGGGGACACCCTCAGGGGTCGGAGACACGCCCAGGGGTCGGAGACACGCCCAGGGGACAGGGGACACCCCCAGGGGATGGGAAACACCCCCAGAGGTCTGGGGACACCCCCAGGAGTCGGGGACACCCTCAGGGGACAGGGGACACCCCCAGGGGTCTGGGGACACCCTCAGGGATTGGGATGGGATCCATGGGATGGGATCCATGGGATGGGATGGGTTGGGATCCGATGGGATCCGATGGGATCCGATGGGACAGGGACCCCCGTGCGAGGTCCGTGCCCCCCCCCCCGGCCCCCCAGGTGAGCCGGCAGCGCAAGGTGGGGGTGCTGTACTGCCGGGCGGGGCAGGGCTCGGAGGAGGAGATGTACAACAACGAGGGGCCCGGAGCCGCCTTCGAGCAGTTCCTGACCCTGCTGGGCACCCGCGTGAGGCTGCGGGGCTTCGGTGGCTACCGGGCACAGCTGGACACCCGCAGTGAGCCGGGGACACGGGGGGACACGGGGGACACGGGGGGACACGGGGATGCGGGGCTGGTTGGACATGGAGGGGACACGGGGG